ACCATGCATTGAAACTGAGCTGCATCCATCTTAATATCTGCTTCTACGAACTGACAAAAAAAACCTTATCAACAGCAGCTAAGCCAATGCGTAACTGTAGTAATTCACCGATCTTTCTCCCACTTGCTCGTTCTCTTATTCCTTGCACGATTTACAATGCAATACTGCAACTCTAAATCCTTGTCGAAAATTGCCTTTCAGGTGAATGACTTAATGTTGCTTGCTATATCAGTTAACCAAAAGAAGATCCACCTCGACCTGGTTCTTAAATGCCATGAAAACGACATTATCGTCACTGATCCTCAAAGGACGCTACTTAAAAATATTCAGCAATATATAAGCAGAATGTTTAATCTTGACATTTCTATTACGAATCAAATGCTTGTACGTAGAACTCACTCTCAGTTCTTGCACAAGCATATCAACTCCATCCAACCACCCGAGTTCGTCCAAATTTGCCAATTCCACCCGCATCCTCTCCACCTGCGGTGTCAGGTGGCTCGAGGATAGTTTCACGGGGGAGAGAAGTGGTAAGTGCCTACCATATCCAAGATACGTGGTCAGTAAATCGCTGACCCTCGTGGAAGTGGTTGTCAAAGCCACGGAAGAGTTTTGAATCAGCCTATCCAGTCCTGTCACCAGTACACAATAGTTTGCATAGCTGGCCTTAGCCTGTGAAATCGTCTTCAGCATTAGATCAATCTCCTGATCTGTCTTATCTACTTCAGTGAGCGCTATTTGAATGAGAGAAGCATTGTTATTGCTGCCTTCTGAAGCATCGATGGCAGCCTGTAGAAGGCCAAGGGTGTGAATTTGATTTCGTCGAAGTTCAGAGGCTGTTGCTTCAATGTCTTCCAGGGAAAGGTCGTTTTCACCATCTTCGGTCGAGTCATGTCTGGATCGAAGTGCCTAAAAGAGGGAGAAATTTTAAGGTCTTTAGAACTAACCCCTGAAGCCAAATGGCCTACAAGGTTTTGCTACCGTTTGGCTGTCTTCAATATCATAAAATATCCAACAAGATAATGTGCAGGCTGCGCTGGACCAGTGAGATTAGCATTAATTTTTGACTATCAGAGAGTTGACTCAATTATTTGTGCCACTATTTCATTTCCATTCATTTCATCCTGAACTACATCTCACTGCTAATTGGCTGGCGGTGGTCTTTAGGTTATTATTTAGCGTTTTCTAAATAAACTCACTTTAATTCGGTCCAGCCGTTTTTTCATGCTTTTAATCCATTCTTTTGTTTTGACAAGGTTTCCACGAAGGCGTTCGACATGCGTACACCGCTCTGTCAATTCGGAAATGCATCGACTTGCCTTTCGCTCACCGGATACTAACTCTCGCCTTAACAAAGACAATTCAGCATCCTCTGCTTCATTTTCCACCATACTCTTGGATCCACGTCTTTCAATCACCTCTTCAATCTCCCTCAATTTGGTTTGTAGGTCTTGATGAAGACCTTTGACGTTGTCTAGATAACGAAACTTATTAAACGGGATGTTGGCAGTCAACTGAATACCCAGTTCCAAATCGGCTGTGTTTCGTGCCTCCTCGAGACTCCTGTTCCACTGTTGCAACCAATCACGAAGGCTGGAAGTCAAAACCTTTAAGGACTCACGCTCAGAAGCGACTAGCCGATCTCGCGCTTGTCTTTCTCGTCCCCAGGCCTGAAGGATCTGCACCAAACGTTCACCTCGTGATATCTGAATGCGTAATTCTAAGTCTTCTTGGACTAAAGGCCTCATCTCTGTGTTCAGTAGGGTTAGTGCACTCTCACTTCGTCGGTGAAGCTCCTCCATTGAAGATGTAGCCTCGTTGCATTCAAGAACGAGAGAATCCAGATTACTCACAGCAAGTTGAAGTTTCTTAACTCTATTTAGACCTTCCTCAGCTACTTGTAACTTGAATTTCATATCATCGACGTTCTCATCCACCTTTGCTGCATAATTTTCTAACATGGATTTTAGGACTTCTTTACCCTCTGTGAATTGATCAACTTTCTTGCGTAACTGACTCAATTGCTCCTTTCCGGCATTTGAAAGGTCCAGTCGATTTCTGACGCTGCACACCGCCAGATATCTTTTCTCTGCTATGCTCTCAAGCCGGTTCATATTCCTTTGCGACTCCGTCTTACTAAATGCTTCCACCGGAGCCGCAATAACCTCTGTGTTGTCTTTCTTCTCCTTTAAGTTATAGGTTTCATTTTCGCGAATCCATTTATCTATCTTTTTGACTGTAGAAACGACATCTTCCCAGACAGTAAGCTGATTTGACAGATTTCTGTCTATAGTCTGTAACGCCTTCCTCGCCTCCTCCAATTTATACCGGTAGGTTTGAAGGTTTCCCGATAAACTTGGATAACCAGAAGCCTCACATTCTAAGGAGTACAACTTTACAAATAGATTTTCAATCTTCAATTCATAGATGCTCTTCAACGATTCCCTGCTTCCTCGAAGATTGGTGCACACTTCTTCGAAACTTGTCGCTTCTTGATTTTGCGAAGTGTTGACGAATCGGGTTTCGAGTTCCGCGCATAGACTATCCACTTCGAACATGACTTGTTTAAGTCGATCTTCGACAACCTTTTGAATATTTGTCTTTTCCTTTATGACGCGCTCTAACTGATTGAGCTGCTTCTGGATCGCACTCCTCTGATCTTCTAAGGCTGCAAGCTTTTCTTTGGCTCCTGGTTTCAAAGAATAGGGCACGAATTGTGTAGTTTCCCAATGCTCAATCTGTGACTTCAGCTGCTTCAGCTTTTCATTCATTTCAGCAATATCGTTCGAACTCTGACTGTCGATAGTGGCTTGCTGTATAACATGTTGGAAATCATCGAGCCAAGTCTGAAGCATGAGAATCTCCTTCTCCTTTCCCGTCTTTTCAGCAATCGCCTGTTCCACGTCCTCGATTAGCGCACTCAGACGATTCTTAGCCAGATTTTCCCATCTTGATAGAAAAGAGAAGGTGGAAAGTGTCGACTGGTCCGAACTGGCGATGGAGCGTATTTTAGCCAGCAACTCATCACCAACAGGGACTTGGCCCTTCAAAAATTGTAATCGCGCCAACATTTCTTCTTCTTCCTGAGCTGATACAAATCTGTAACGAGGCTCTATATCATCTAGATCTTTGCAAAAACTTTCACACAGAGATTCAGCCATTGCTGAGAGCTGTTTTAACTCACGCTCCTCCGAAACTCGCGCCTCCCATACCAATATTGCTTTGGAGAGACTTGACTTGAAAGTAGTGATGGATTTTTGAAGGTCTTCCAATCTAATCCGAATCTCCTCGATATTTACAAGTCCCATTCCACCAACAATGTTAGCGTTAGCTTCACGTGTAAGTTTCTCAATCTGTCTAAATTTCTGCGGCAACCATGACCTTTCCATATCGCGTGCTTTATGAAGACATTCCATACGAGATGTTGTTGTGTTACTGAAGTCCACACTAGGACAATGATCTAGGAAGTCAAGTTCTTCCGATGCCAGCTGAAACGCCTCCATCAGTTCTTTTGAGTCAGCCATCCAAGCCGATGCTGCTTCGGTAACACCCTCCAAGGATTCTCGGGCCTTACCCAAGCATCCAGAATAGATCTTCAAGGCAGTCTGTAACGGTCTCAATGCATCATCGACAAAAACGTCGGAAAGTGTGTTTGTCTGGCGCAGCAGTGAAATAATTTTTGGTGCAACTCCAGGTACCATATTGTCTGTCTTCAAGACTGAGACTTCAATGGAAGTAGATCCTTCAGCTGCCTCCAAATCCTCTTCTAATGCGCCTATTGAGTTTAAGCGTTCCTTAAGTTCCACTATATCTTGAATCGGTAGTCGGAAGTGAACATTTTGTTTGAGTGAGGAGATATTCTCATTGACTGCTTCGCAAGCAGCAGAAACGTCCTTGGTGAATTGATCAAATTGGAGTGTTAGTTGTTTCAGTGTTGTCTTCACCGAATCATACTTACTCTGACCTTCAGCCAACACTGTTGAAGCCTCTTCAAGAAGACCACTTAGCTTGTCATTCGGTTTGACCTTTGAGGCCTGCGAAATGATACGTTTGAGCTTATTCACGGCGGAATGATAACTTGTCTCATATTCCTTAAGCCTACTCTGAAGAGTGGAGATTTCGGTGGGAGAACTCACTCCTCCACATTCTTCCAGAAGGTCAGAAAACTTGTCAACGTCTGACATTAAAGCGGTTGTCTCCTTCTGCAGACAACAGCAAAGGTCGTACAATTCTGCCATCTTAGCGCTGGCCTCTGAGCTTACCTTTGTCAGCCGTTTTGATGTTTCGGTAAAGCATTCTTGGATGGAGTCGGGAAGCTTACAAAGGAATTGTGGAAGTTGACGAGGTGGGTGAAAGGCCTTTTGAAGTTCCTCCACATCAGCGGCAAAATCACTCAATAAATACTGCTCTTGGTCAAGAGAGTTTGCAAGACCTTTCAGTTCTTGGAAAATAGTCTCAGGACATTTAATAGTCCTGGATTTCAAGAGTTCTTCCATGTTTGTGTTGATTGTTTCCAAAACAATCCGAACGCGAGTAAAACTTGAACCCAATGCTTCAGCTTTCCAGCTAATGCCAGCTTGCATTGAACAGGCTTTATCAAGCTCCAACTTTACGTTTTGCACTTTGTCGGTCTGCATTTCTAGAAGTCTTACGACACCTTCACCGAGAGCATCACACAAGCGGCTCATCTCTGTCACTTTTGAGTCCACGCGAGCCAAAAAAGTCTCCTTGATTTCATCCATGGTCTTTGCACAAAGAGCTTCCTTCTGTCGAATCATTTCCACAGCCTCAGAAATCTGTTTCAACTGTCTAACATGCAAGTTAGTAGGGTAATTTGGACAACAGGCAAGTAAGTCCGAGTTAATCTGTTGCAATGTTTGATCAAAAGTCTTGTGAGCTTCCTGAAGCTCCGCCCAAACGGTCTGCCTTCTCAGCAACTTCGAGCTCAGTTCCTCATGACGTCGTCTAGCTTGTGTTCTGCGCTCTCGTATATCTTCAACCTCGGTCAATGTTATTTCCATCCGAAAACTGCGTTGTTGATGTTGTTGTATGTGAAGGATGGCTTTATCGATGTCTCCTAGTGAAATGCTGACTTCCTACAAAGGAAAAAATCGGTGGCAAAGGCATTGTAATCAGCAATGTTGCAGTAAGTCGAACGCAAAAACGATGCAGAAACTATATTCAGACAATTCTTCTGGTTTACTAAACTAAAGGCAAA